ACCTGGACCCAGGAATGTGGCTTCAACCTCTTCCAGGCAGTCAGATAAAGAGGCAAAGAGTAGAGGAAAAAGGTCAGCACGGGCACAACACACTTCAATGACCCTGCTTATTACAGTTATTTCTGACTCTTTGCAAAAAACCTTGGAATGAAATAAAAATGGGGGGGGGGGCAGTTTAAAAAAATTAAGAGATCGTTCCAGCTGAAATTGTGATTTCAGATCCACCATGTAACTTATTTCTGGCCTGAGTGCTTATAAGCAAGGGTCAGGGATGTCAGAATGCCTGAATTATCCACATTATTTGGGTCAAATTAATTTAGACTGTTTGAGAAAAGTGGTTAATTTGGTTCTAGATTTCCTGGATTAGCCCTGGTATTAATTTCACAGGGAGTTCAGCAGACTTTTACTGTGGCTGGTAAAGTCTCCCAGACCACTGAGAGGTTTCTCCAGGTGGTGGACACATCCCATACCTCAGACCCAAAGGGGGTGGCAGAGAGGATGCAAAATGGAGGTTGAACCCAGGGCAAAGAACCAAGTCCACAGGTATCAAGTGGTAGGTAGCTCAAGGCACCAGAGGACCAAAGTTGGGGCCCTAGACAGGAATGGAACATTTAGTTAAAGGAAGAGACTGGCAGCCACAGCCAGGCAGTATACACAGGTGAGCCCACAGCAGCAAACAGGGCTGGTGGGGGCACCTAAAGGAAAGTGTTTCCAGTATGGCAAAGGTCAGGGCTTTGAGAAATAACCCACAAGGAGAGATTGACAGTGGTGAATAAGGGAAAGCTGGGGAGATGGAGCCTGCTTTCGGGTTCAAGTGCAGACCCATGAGTGGGTGGTGGGCTTTTCGTCCTTAGAAAGACAACATCGTGAAAAAAAGATAGTAACGGGGTGCGGGGACTGTGACAGTTCTAAGAAAGAAAAGCCACGGGGTGCCACCTGAGAGGAGGGGGCGCCGCACAGTGTGAGACCGGTCCCAGGCCAAGCAGGCAGCAGAAGGCTGTGCCACTGACCTAGGACATGGGGTAATTGTCCTTGTGCCGAGGAGGAGCCGAGGGGCTTGAGAGGTTGTCACGATCCTAGGGAAGAGAACCCCCGCAAGGAGTCCTTCCTCTGGGAGGATTCAAGTAGGTCTCCTTGTCACCAGAGGCGCCCAGCGGGTCAAATGGAGGGTGCTGCTCCCCGCCCGTCTGCAGCCGCGCCCCAGGAGCCCCCGCCCCGCCGTCAGCTCCTTCCCGGGTCTGAAGGCTGAGGCCACTCCCGGGTGGGGGCAGCTTTCCACCCGGCGCAGTGCAGGGAGAGGCAAAGCTGGGCGGACAGGCAGGGGATCCGTGGCGTCCGCCCCCACCCTATAAAGCCACATACCCAGCTCACCTGGCGTCCGCGACCCCCTGCGCGGCCAGCCCGGCCACTCTCCAGATCTCAAGATGTCCGCCCGCCCCCGGCTCGCCTGCCCGCTGCCTAGGCTTTCACCGCAGTGCCGCGGCCCCGCCCCTGCCCCAGCTGCGCGTGCGCGCCCCACCCCACCCCCCGCGTAGACTACAAATCCCGTCAGGACTCTCAGCCTTAGCCTGCTCCCTTACAAATTTAAACTAAGTTTGGCAAAACTACAACTACCGAATGCCTTGGAGAAGCCCCTTCCGCCTTGGGCGGGGATAAGCGAGGCCTCCCCCTAACTCGCCCGAAACACACATCCCAGCAGACGCTGCCGCGCTCACTTAAGTTCTCCTCGCTGAGCATTCTGGGGATTGTAGTCTCTGCGATCTCTTCTGTTCTAGATCAGTTTCAGAGCGCCTCAGAGGATTAATGCCATTTGCTGAAGCCCATCTGTTAAGCCTTGGATTGCTATAGGCCTTTTCTGTCACCAGAGTCCGAGGACTAGATGTCCTCTCTACACACAAACACAACTTGGCAGCAGAAGTGTTTGTGTTGAATTTACTGCCTTCTAATACAATCTCTGATTGCTCCAAGCTTTTCTCATGTATTTGTTCCACACAGAGCCTTTTCCTAGGGATTAAGACCCTCTTTCCTAGGGAGAGGAGCAGGGAGGGAGAAGGCAAAGGGTTAGGTAGAAATTACGTTTTTCACGAACGCACCCATGACTATGAACTCTTCCTCCAGGCCAGCTAAAGCTTTTAATGATGTGCTGACATTCTCCTCAGCTATACCTATGTGACTGTGTGCACCTTCTAGTCACAGGTATCTATATTGCTTAGAAAATATTTAGAGAACTGAGTTTAGTTGGACATAGAATTTGAGATTCCCTCTCTGATAAACAGAATTAATCTTCATATCCAAGCTGAGTGGAGGAGACAGAGCCAACCCTCAAATATGAAAGGCCCACCTTTCTTGGAGAATCAGAAGAAAATCTGTTGGCTCTTCTCTTTCTGTAGATAAGAGATATCTTGCTCCCTTCCTTGAGCAGGATTGAGCCTGTCACAGGAGGAAGGGCAAGACAGGGCAAATCTGGTTGTGAACCTTACTGTCCTTTGCAGCCTCCTGCTAGAAGTCAGCATGTAGCAGGAGGAAGATCTGGTTTCCCTCAAACTGTGATCATTACCTGAAGCCACTGAGTGACTGAATATAGACACTTCTTAATCTTCAGACCAGCACTCAAGGTTTCACTCCTATTTTTGTAAAAGCTTTATCTTTCAAACACACCCTAAACTGCCACCTATTTAGAGTAAATAATAATGATGATGATATTAATAATAGCTACCATTTATTGAGCACCTACTCTACTGTGTGCCTGGCACTGTGCTAGGCACTTTCGTACAATATCTAATTTGAATCCTCACAACAACCCTGTGAGGTAGGTTTTATTATCATCATTTTACATACAAGAGAACCGAGGCTCAGAGAGGCTAAATGACTCTCTTATCACACAACCAAAAAATTGTGGAGCTGGAATTCAAATGAAGAACAAGCTGACTTCAAATCCCATGCTCTGTTGAATTAAAGTAGAGACAGAGGGGAGAGGAAGGGCCAAATCCAAAAAAAGATTGTTGGAATGGAATGGATATGATATGCTGATGTGTAAAATATGGGAAGAAATTTAAACCCATAAATGTTTCTAGCTGGTAAGCCTTTGGAGGTTGCGATGAAGGTACCAGGATTGGAATTCAGGATGAACACACTTGATTAGAACACACAAGTCCATATGGACACATCCATGGAGATGTCTAGTAAGTAGTAAAAATATAAATCTAAAGATTGGGAGAAGTTATGGTTGCAGCTATATATTTGGGAATCATCAGCATATCAGCAGCAATTGAGGACATCAGAATGTTTTGGAATAGAGAGGAACAGAGACGTGGTCCAAAGATGGAACAATGGAAGCACCAACACTGATGGCATGAGCAATAGTGGAGAAATTCTCAAGATAGGGTCAGAGGAAGAAGTACAGGAAACAGCCCTATAATGGTGGTTGGAAGCAATGGCCTGGGCTGGGACCAAACCCAGAGCTCCCAGAAGGCAGGCAAGACTGAGTCACACTTCCAACACAGCCCTCTCTCTGCTCGCTAAAACCCCAGATGTACTGTTAAATGAATGAATGCCAAAATGCCCCATCTCAGTTTACCCCAAAGCTTGGAGCTAAGGACTTCATCTGACTCTTGACACCCCAGCCCTGAAAGCTTGAGAGACTGGATGAGCCAGAAGAATTTATAGCAGAGGCATAAAGAGAAAGTCATTATTTGTTTAAAGTAGATAATAAGGTAAAAAATAAGAAAACTTGGCACTCTTATCAGTCTGGAAGTCCTCTGTCCAACCTCAACTGGCCTGTGGACTCCTGTGTCCTTGCTCTGGGGTTGTCATGGTAAATGTGAAAACAGGGAAATGTGTGTGTGGAGGAGGGTAGAGGATGAGAGTGGCCTGTCAGTCACCTGCAGAGTCCTCTGCTGAGCTCAGCCTGAGACCCAGCTTATGGGCTTTATCCAGGTAGGAAGATGCTGAGGATGTGTGGGAGGTTTGAGGGCTAAAAGAAAGAGGAGGAGGCAGTCAGGGGACCAGCCCCACAACTTGGTAGACAGAGGATCCAGCCCTCTGGGCAGGGGCCTGCCCTGAGGCTTAAGCAAACTTGCATAGGCATCTGTGTGTGCGTGTGCGCATGCTTATGTGAGTAAGAGTGAGAGAATGAGACAAAAAGAGAGAGACAGAGAGAGAGGGAAAGAGCAGAGACACACACTCTCTGAAAAGAATAGAGTCTCTCATGCATGGGTGAATCTGGGCCCTCTCCAGAAGTCTAGTGACTCAATGTGTTGAAGTGTGAGTGTGGGGGCTGGACATCCTTGGGGAGCCCTGAGGGGCTGCTGAAGCAGGGTTCCTTGTCTCCTCGGAGGCTGGGCCTCCCCTCGCTGGGGGCTCACAGAAAGTCAAACAGCCCGAAATTCTTGGCTGCTCCAGGCCCAGGGAAAATTTGGGGAGGAAAAAAGAAAGAAAAGAAATGTTTCAGGCCCAGAGGTGAGATGAGCCTACTGGTTAGTAGGGTTAGGGGTCTGAAGAAGCCAGCACACAGGGCGGGCATGGGGTGGGAGTAGAGCAGAGATGCCCCAGGGAAGCCACTGGCTGCTCAGGCAATGGAGGGGACCCTCTGGGCTTCTGATCCAAGCTGAGCACAGGCAGTGTGGCTACTGGAGGTGACTACAGCTCTAAGATGCAGGACTGAGGCAACAGGCAGGAAGAACGTTAGAAGGGGCAGATGAAGCAAATATTTTTTGGTGTCAGTATTGGGGGCAGTCTAGAGATCTGAATACATGCCAGAGGGGTGGGTTAATAGAGGGATGGTGTAACTGAACGAATGGTGAAAGGGAACTGAGGGTGAAAAGAAGGGGATATGAAGTGAACATGCTCCTAAAGACACTGCTGGGGTCACCTCCCAAAGGGAGCAGAAGGGAGTAAGGGGCAGCACCACTAAGTCTGGTCCCAGGCACATGAAGGATCCAGGTAAATCCCACGCAGCAGTTAGTGGGCAGAGGTAACAAACTGGGGCCAGAGGCAGGTTAGGGGCTGCAAGGCCAATCGGTACCCCCTCTGCGCTCGGCGAGCAGTTAGCGCACCTGGATTTAGTTCCATTTATTTCCCTTTCAGGTACCAAACAAAGTAAAAAAGACTGACGGACGGATGGAGACAAGAGGAGGAACGCGGCCGAGGGTGGGGTTGGGATGGCAGTGGGGCAGGGACCTTGCTCACATGACATCCACAAAAAACTCACTGGGGTTTCCCATGGCCATGCGGAAGGACTGTCTGCTGGCGGTCAGTTCCGGGGGCACCGAGGCCAGGTCGCGGCCCGGAGGGGCTCCTGGGGGCCCCATGGCTGCGGGCGGTGGGGGCATCATCAGCATGGGGGGGCCGTAGAGAGGGGGCACTCCAGGAGGGCCGTAGCTAGGGTGTGTGTGGTGGCTGCGCAGGCTGCTGGCCAGTGAGTGGTGGCTGCGGTGGCTGTGCTCGCTGGCGGCTGGGCCTGAGCGCTCACTTGGCGCCCGCTCCCGCGGCCCCCGCAGGCTGCTGCGTGTTGTGTGGTCCGATTCACTGCCGCTGCCGCCTGACTTGGAGTCCCCAGCCTTCGCATCCTTCTCCTTCCTCCGATCACTGCCGCTGCGATTGGAGCCACTGCTCCGACTGCCTGTACCAGATAAGCAGGGCCCGGGGGGCGGATGCTCAGAGGTTGAGGAGGAAGCCTGGGCCTCACCCCGTGTCCTCCCTTTACTGCCCCCTCCACCTTACCTTCACTGTGCTGACTGCTGGCACTGCCCCCACCGTAGCTGTAGCCCAGCTCTGGGAAGCCGGGGTGAGGGTTGTAGGGGTGTGGGGGGGGCGGGTATTGGTAAGGAAAAGCCATGGGCCAAGGGGCAGCTCCAGGGTGTGGCAAAGGAGCCAGTGTATCCTGGTCAGAGGCACCACTGGAGCCATCATGGTCATGGAGGGACAGGTTGGCCATATCTGTGAAAGGAAGGGCTGAATGAGCTAGGTCCATCCCTTGCAGTACACCCCTGATCAGTAGAGATCCCCCAGCCTAAGGTGGGTGGCCAGGCCTTGGATAATAGCAACTGTGGTAATTTCTGGCCAGAATGAGAGGAGACACAGGCCAGACAGCTCACCCTTTCTGCAGAACCCTCTACCACCACCAGAGACAGCCCTGGGAGGCCCCCCTCTTCAGGAAGGCCTTTAGTCACTATTTTAGATTCTTAGCCAAATCTAGACACCCAATTTCTAATACCCTGGAGGCCCCCAAGCTTTTGGCATTTTCTCCTCCCTCCTCAGTGGGCTGGAAGAAGAGCCATTTTCGGCTGGGTGCCTGTGGCTCAAGTGGCTAAGGTGCCAGCCACATACACCTGAGCTGGCAGGTTCAAATCCAGCCCAGCCTGCCAAACAACCATGCCTGCAACCAAAAAATAGCTGGGCATTGTGGCGGGCTGTAGTGCCAGCTACTTGGGAGGCAGAGGCAAGAAAATTGTTTGAGCCTAAGAGTTGGAGCTTGCTGTGAACTGTAATGCCATGGCACTCTACTCAGGGCGACAGCTTGAGGCTCTGTCTCAAAAAAAAAAAAAGCCATTTTCTCTTCTGTTCACTCAGAGGGTGGGAAGCCAGCAAACATAGAAGGCTGAAACAGCAGATCCCACCAGGTACTTCCTACCTATTGTCCATTAAGCACAGTACGAGGCACTATCTCCTACAAATGTTACCCCATCTTTAAGAAGAAGACATCTGTCACATTTTTTCAGATAAGAAAAGTGAAGTCCAGGCTTGGTGCCTGTAGCTCAGTGGGTAGGGCACCAGCCACATACACGGAGGCTGGAGGGTTCGAGCCCGACCTGGGCCTGCTAAACAACAATGACAACGGCAACCAAAAAATAGCTGGGGGCTGTGGAAGGCGCCTGTAGTCCCAGCTACTTGGGAGGCTAAGGCAAGAGAATCACATAAGCCCAAGAGTTAGAGGTTGCTGTGAGCTGTGACGCCACAGCACTCTACCAAGGGTGACATAGTGAGACTCAATCTCAATCTAAAAAAAAAGAAAAAAATATATATATAGAAAAGTGAAGTCCAAAGAGGTTAAATGACCAGGCTGAGGTCAATCTAAACTGTAGCCAGGGGCAGCACCTATGGCTCAAAGGAGTAGGGCACCGGCCTCATATGCTGGAGGTGGTGGGTTCAAACCCAGCCCTGGCCAAAAATTGCAAAAAAAATAAAAATAATAAAATAATAATAAAATAAACTGTAGCCAGAACAGAAGCTAAGAATTGCTTACTTTTGCCTTAACATTCCCAGGTGGAGGCATTAATTAGGAGCAGGGAGCAGTTTGGGGAAATTCAGGTGAAATTTTGCCCTTTGTCCCCCGCCCCCTCTCCTAAGAACTAAAAAAAACACACAACTCATTAAAAGCCCAGTATGAACACAGGGCCTTTCAGGACCTCCCCATATAGCAGCTCCTTGGCCCTGATTATATGTCCCTGGTGCTATGGGGTAGGGGGGATCAGACCAGAAAGAAAAAACAATGTAGGTGCCTCCTCTGTGTTCTTTGCCCCATTCCCAGCCAGGCCTGGCTCTTTACAGCACTGTCTCACTCCATTACTATGACTTATTTCGTAACTGTAATTACTCCTGGGGAAATTATATATTCCTTAAGGGCAAGGCTGGCCCCATCAATGTTGGAACTACCTTGAAGGGAATATAAGGGGCTACTAGGACTAAGTTCCTGCCTGGCATACCCCCTGTTCACATGCCATCTATACCATGTCCCAGAGCTCCAAGAGAGCAGTAATTATCCCAGGGGCCACCTGCCCAATATAGATGAAACTTTCCCTCATCCCAGCTTTCCCGGGGAACAGTCAGGAGGCAGAGCTCCAAGGCAACCTGTGGAGCCTGCCAGATAAGCTATCAACCTGTCAAGAAGCCAGCTGCTACATGGGGGGTGGGATGGGGGAGGTAAAAAGTAGTGCCCATCAGCTCATGTTCAAAGAGCCTCCAGACTATTGTCCTGATGGGAGTGACTGTGTCCCCTCTAAGCCTGACATATTCCTAGCTGAGGAGACCTTCCTTGACCAGTGAGAAGGAAAAGGCCTGTTCTGTCAGTATCCTCCTGAGGTGGCCTCTGGGGATGTTGTGAGAATTGAGTAAGAAAGCAAGATGATGTTTTAGAAACAAATAGCAGCCGGACATAATTATAAGAGGGACTTTACCTAACAAATGCAATCAGTATAACCTGGTTCTTTGTACTCTCAATGAATCCCCAACAATTAAAA